TTGATTAACTTAGCAGTTGTGATCAGTGTCAAGTTTTCTGAAAATTGCTTCTGCATTGGGTGATCAACAAATATTTCCCAGACACACAAACAGCACAAACTTCTGTGCCTGTTCTGCCATCTTCTCTCTCTCGCTCACTCTCTCTCACACACAACCCCTTGTGTCTTTTCCAGAATTAGAGTCATCTGTTTTATATGGAAAGAACAATGATGGAGTTCTAGATAAATAAATGAAGGAAATAGTGTTCTGATTGGAAATAAGAAAAGAAAATTATTAAACCCCTGAGAAAATTTCTCACTGGAGTAGTTATTTTTTTCTGAAATAATTCCATATTTTTGTTTTTCACTGATTAAACTGATAGTGACAATTTATAAACTGATTTTGGAACACTGTATTAATAGTAAAACAAATACACAAAAGGTCAGCAGTCTGTGTGTATTCTGAGAACATTCTTTTGGATTCTTATTTGTAGTGTAATGTTTTTATTTTAGGGATGTGAAGTTACTTTTTAAAAAAAATCCAAAAGTAGTATTTAAGTAATGATATTTATTTGCTTCTTGAGGAACATGTCATTAGAATTTGACTGAAAAAAAGAACTTATGAAAATGTTAAATAATGGATTGAATATTACTTTTGGTGATAATTTTTATTTAGAAAAATATTTCTAAAGAATTCCATGGCAAATATATTGGAATGGAATTTACAGACTTTAATATAGATTTTATCTGTAAAATGTGAATTAAGTTTTCTCCCCCCTTGTAAATAACTTTCATTTTTAATCATAAATAATAACATGCAAATTATTATTTCCTGCTGTGAGCATTATCCAACCAGAGTTCAACTTTAACTATTATGACAAATGAAAATCTAAAAATACTAGGGTACATGGCTGCATATGACTAATTTTTTGCTCTGTTGAGAAGTCAGGACACCAAATATTTCGTTTTAAGCCTTTCCATAAAGAGGTCCTGGCATGTTTGAAAAGTGGCACACAGATACTAATGATACATTGTGACAAAAGACATATAGCATTGTATCAACAAAAGGCATTTCAAATTTAACTCATCTGAAGCAAACTGATTTCCATAAAATGCTTTTCATAATATCTTCCCCATCTCCAACATTAGGGACATCATCTTTCTAGTCGCTAGGCTGGAGTTATTCTTGAGAAATTCTCTCAGTAAATCCTCACAGATACCATAAACACTGTTGTTTGTAATCAACCTATCCATCTTGCTTGCCATCACCACAGTCCTATCTACAACATTGTCTCACTTGTTTTATGCTATAGCTCTCTCACTGGTATCTTCATTTTTATCTTTTCCTCATTCTGCTAATGTTTAAATTTTCCAGCAAGAATGATTTAATTTGAAAAAATAAGGCTGATCAAATTTTAGTGGCACACTCTAAGTACAAAACTCAAAATTCTATCAATGGCTTCCTAATGTCCTGCATGATTTCATCCCATGTGCTTCTCATACCTGTTTTCTTTTTTTCTGGTGGGGGGGTGGTGTCACATGGGTTTTGTTTTTGTTTATTATTTTAATGAAAGTGTTTACAGATACTTTGAATTTCCATTCATTCAATGTTCCACACTTGGCTCCCTGCCCATCCCACCCCCACTCCAGTTTGCTTTTGTCTTTGAAAAGTAAAAAAATGTCAAAACAACTGTGAGATATCATCTCATCCCAGTCAGAATTGCAAAATTTAACACAACAGCAAGCAACAAATGCTGGTGAGGTTGTAGAGAAACTGGAACCCTTATTCACTGTTGGTGGGAGTGTAAAATGGTGCAGCCCCTTTGGAAGGCAGTATGGCGCTTTCTCAAAAAGTTGCAAATAGCAATACCATTTGACCCAGCAATTCCACTACTGGGAATATACCCCAAAGAGACCATAACGGACATCCAAGAAGATATATGCACACCCATGTTTATTGCGGCTTTGTTCACAATAGCAAGGAGTTGAAAACAACCTAAGTGCCCATCAACAAACGAATGGATAGAGAAGCTGTGGTATATTCACACAGTGGAATACTATGCTGCATTGGAAAACAAGGAACTCATGAAATATTATTCAGAATGGGTTGGGAGAAGACTCAGAAGGATGGGTTCAATAATGTATACTGCATTGAAACAGATAAGGGGGAAACTGTTTAAGAAGGAAAATTATTAGGTATTTTTGTCATGACAGGAGTCCAGAGCGAAGGCTGTATAGTGGAGTGGACCTGGGGGAAGGGATTGTAAAACAATGAAAGAATTTTTCTTTTACTTTTCCGAGGGGGTAATGTACTAGGGGGGAGGGTTAGGAGGGTAGAAAAGTGCAACAATGAATGAATGGAAATCCAAAGTCTCTGTAAATTTTCATTGAAATTAATAATAAAATTTTAAAAAAGTACCAAAAAAGTAAAAAATGTGAATAAGTTTTAATGAATATAAATTTTTCTGCACTCATCATCCTAGTAAAAAGAAAATAGAAAAGTTCCTCACTTAGGAGTTTGCTTTGTGCCCCTTTGTGTTAGTTTATCCAAAAGCAACCATCGATATAATTTCTATCACTGTAGCCTGCTCTAGAACTTCATGTAAAAGGAAATAAGCAGTGTGTAAACTTGAATATATGGCATCTTTCACTGAACATGATTTTGGAATTTATATTGTGGGTTCAGTAATTCATTAATGTGTATTGCTCAGTAGTTTTTTTTCATTGTATGAACATAGCGTGTACCGTCAAATCAGATCTGACTGGTACAGGAGGATATTGCGCCTCCTTCTCCGGCAGAGCATCTGGTGGACTCGAACCGTGTTCCTCTGGGATTGCAGTGCAGCTTCTTGCCACTAGGCCACCAGAGCTCCCCTTTTATATTTTTATGATGGCATATTTTCATTTCTTCAAGAGAGGAATGGTTGGATCATATAGTATTTGTAATTGTTTTCTAAGTGGTTATTTCTATTCTTACCTATAATATATTTGAGTTCCAGTTACCCTTTATTTCCCCCATCCTTTGTCTTTAATTTTAGCCATTCTAGTGCATATGTCAGAAACCATGGGGTTGTATTATCTTGGACTGCCGACCTGAAGTTTGTTTTGTTGTTATGTGGCATCCGGGAGATTTGAATCCACCAGCTGTTCTGCAGAAGACAGGCAGCCTCATCTGAAAAAGATTTCAGCCTCTAAAACTAATAGATCACTCAAAGTCTTTTAGTTAAATTGATACCCCTTTGTTTATGATTTATAGTTGTTGCTATTTTTAGGTGCCATAAAGTCATCTATGACACAGAGACACTGTGAACAACAGATCTGAACCTTGTCCTGTCCTTCACCATCCTCTCCATCTCTGCTATGCTCAAGCCCATTCTTAGTTACTGTGTCAATCCATCGTGTGTGTGTGTGTGTGTGTGTGTGTGTGTGTGTGTACGCGTACCATTGAGTCAGATCCAACTGGCACAGGAGGAGATTGCCCTTTCTTCTCCAGCAGAGCATCTGGTGGATTCGAACCGCGTGCACCTTCAGGATTGCAAGTACAACTTCTTACCACCAGACCTCTTTTTATCAGTCCATCTTACTGAGAGTCTTCCTCTCCTCTGTCTCTCCACCTTTCCCAGCATGTTGTTGTTGTTGACTGCCTGTCTTTTCTATATTCTGAATGCAAATTCTTTGTCAGATGAGAATATTTTCAGCCAATAGGTGGTTTACCATCTAATTTTCTTAATAGGGTTATTATATAAGAACATCACTACATTGTCTTTGAGTTGGAACCAACTCATAGCTAACTCTTTATTGAGTTTCTTGGGCTGTAAATTACATGGAAGGAGATTGTCAGTCCTTTTCCTGAGGACCAGCTGATAGATTAAAATTTACAGGAAGATGTGACTTTTAGATTAGCAGCACAACTCCTTCAGACTATGCCCACACAGCTCCCTATATATGAAAAGAAATTTCAGGTTTTTTTAAAATTTAATTTTATTTTTGTGTGTGTACCATAAAATCAGATCTGACTGGTACAGGAGGAGATTGCCCCTCCTTCTCCAGTAGAGCATCTGGTGGATTTGAGAAATTCCAAATTTTTATTAAGACTAATTTTTTTGTGTTATTCATTGTTTTTGTGTCTTAAGACATTTTGAGTTTTTTGCTTAGATTAGTGATCCATTTTTACTTTTGTTCTATTTATTCATATTATACTCCCATTAATTAGTCAAACATTTGTTGGGCACCTACTTAATGTCAGATACTATTCTAGTCACATGGTATTCCATTTGTGAGAAAAAATTTAAAATTTCTATCCTGGTGAAACCTATGTTCTAATTGAAGTCACGGTAAACTAATAAAGGACCGTGAGGAGAAAATACAGTACTGTATTGCAGTACTGTAAAGGTCAGTGAGAAAGTTTATTTGTAGTTTCAAAAAGACTAGTGAAAATAGGCCTCATTGAGAATATGCCATGTAAGGAATTATGTGAAGAGATGAGGGAGATAGGCATTTAGCTGTTTGGGAAAAGATAATTCTGGGCAGAAGAAACAGCTGGTGCAGAGCCCTTAAGATAGGACCATTTCTGTCATGTACCAGGAATAACTTCCTGGGTGGTCCAGATTGTTAGTGGACAATAACTTGGTGGTATGACAGAATCATATAGGACAATGTTAAGATTTTAGCACTTTCTATGAATTAAGTGGGAAGTAATTTGAAGATTCTTATTTAACAACAACATTTTAGAACAACAGATTTATCTTCTTGAATGTCACATCTCTTGTTAGTGATTCTGAGGGTGAATGTTTTTGCTGGAGGAGACTCTCCACCTTGCTCTCAGTGAGCACCTGCTAAATGCAAACCACTGAACTTTTTCTCTTAGTAGCTTATCCTGTCACATACGTAGGTACTTGACTATCCCTTAGAAATTTCATATTGCTCTTTTAGATCTACTACTTCATATATGTTTCATGAGAATGAGTGCATATTATTTTTATTTCAGGTAGACTTAATATGAAAATGGTTTTCTTGTTTCAGAAAGATCCAGATTACCTGAAATTATGGTTGGACAGTTTTGTTTCCAGTTATGAACAATTCTTAGATGTTGACTTTGAGAAACTGCCTACCAGGTATGTAGAAGTACATTGATGTCTTAATTTTATGTGAACTTCTTCATTTTTTTGGCACAAAGATTGCATTGGTCACATATTACAAGGATGGCAACTATATGGCACATGCAATGTTCCTGGCCAATCCTGTTCTCTTAGTAGGTACTACTAATTAATCACAATAATCTTTCTCACTAATATAAGACATGGCTTTTAGAAGCATCTCTATTTTGGTGAATCATGACTAAATTGTAGGCATGCCAGCTGAGATTTTTTTTGTCATGTCTGATCTTAGAAAGTATATTTGAGTAGGTGAAGTATTCAGGTTTTTAAAAATTAGATACAAAAATAATAAAAAGAAAGCAAACCTTGAATAATATGGAAAGGTACAGCTGAAAGTACCTTTACCACCTACCACCATTCTCCCACTTTTGTGGTTCCCATGCCCATTTTCTAAATAAAATTTGTTGGTTTTTGGTTTTTGTTTTCCTTTAGATTTGTTTTTTTAAATTTTTTTGTCTTGTACGATTTTGACGGACTAGTGTATTATTAGTCAGGCAAGAGAGAAGAAAAGCTTTTAACTAAAACATGAGGCCCACAGCTCCTCTAACCATTTGTTGATGGGCATTAGGGTTGTCTCCAGCTCAGTGCTGTTGTGAACAAAGTAGCAGTAAACATGTGTGTGCATATATCTGCCTGAGTGGCAGTTCTGGTTTATTTAGGGTATATTCCCAGTAGTGGAATTGCTGGGTCAAATGATATTTATATTTCCAACTTTATGAGAAAGTGCCATACTGCCTTCCATAGTGGTTGCACTATTTTACACTCCCACCAACGGTGAATAAGGGTTCCAGTTTCTCCACAATCTTGCCATCATATTCACACAATGAAATACCATGCTGCATTGAAAAACAAGGAACTCATGAAATATTATACAAAATGGGTGACCCTGGAGGGCATTATGATAAGTGAAATATCCCAGTCACAAAAGGAAAAAAAATTGCATAATGCCACTGTTGTAAAGTGAGAAAGACATCAATGTTGGGGGGAAGCTAAGAGGGGATAAATAACGGATACTGCATTGAAGCAGAAGGGGGAGAGAACTGTTTTGGAGGAAAATATGATTAGATATTAGTGTCATGACAAGAGTCCAGAATGAAAGCTGCATAGTGGAGTGGACTGGGGGTGGGGAGGATTGTATAACAGAGTTTTTAAATTTTTTTATTTTTTTTTTACTTTTGAAAGATAAAAGCGAACTCAGGTGGAGGGGTGGGCAGGGAGGAAAGTGTGCAACAGTGAATGAATGGAAATCCAAAGTCTCTGTAAACTTTCATTATAAGAAAAAAAAGAGGCCCATTTATGTAGTTGTCTTGTGGAAAATGAGTAGTAGTTGATTATATGGGTGTGTCTGGAGAATTAAAGACATTGCAAGGAAAAGGAAAATGTTTGGGAATGAGGAAGGCATCAAGTGAGTGGTAGGTAGAGGACATTTGAATCTTGATAAATTGGAGCCAGATTATAAAGAACTGTGCATACAGTGCTAATAGCTGTGTGTTTTTGTTTTGGTCTTTATGAAAGGTATTGAGAGATACTGAGGGATTTCCATTTGAGAGTGTTACAGTTTTGTTTCCTAGAAGTGTTTTTCATGGCATTACTCAAGAGAAAAATAGGCATTTTCCACCCATTGCATTTTTAAAATTTTTTTTATTAAATTTTATTAATTTTAATGAACATTTACAGAGATTTTGGGTTTCCATTCATTCATTGTTGCACTATTTTCTCTACCC